GGATATAAGAAAGAAACCCTGGTGGATTGTGGTAACTCCCACAATTCCCCTGAAATGGATCTAGCAAGGGACACGGTTAAGTCCTTCTGCAGAACAGAACTGAAAGAACAGCAATACTGTACCCAGCAGGCTGACCAAGCCTAGCACTTCAGGCTCCTTCAAGAGAAAATCCCTGTGAGACATGAGTGCTAGACCCTTGGGAAGGGCTCTACTGTCCTCCAGAATGCTCCTCTTTATTCTCCTTAGCAACAGATATCAAGTGATTGACCCAGCCATGGGCAAAACCTTCTAATCCAGCCAGTCAGCCAGTGACACCTGAGAAAGTCAAGAAAAGTGCTTCATGTCCTTAGGCAAACCATGCGTGACTTCATCCACACAGGGCTTGGGAAGCATAAGAAGCTGAAAGTGGGTGGGGAGCATCCACATGGACAGTACAGTGGATAACAGGCAGATTTTGTGGTGACAGCTTTGGTCCTGGACTTGGAAACTTCAGTGTGATGTGGTTGGGTATTTGGTAAACACTTTCTAACCAGAGTCAAATGAGCACTGCAAAGGGAATAATCAGAGTGTCCGTTACAGACACATTCAGCTTACGCTGTGTGTTCACACACAGGCCTGCCACAGGAAGGGCACAAACCCGAATGCCACATGGATGGACAAATGACAAGCAACGGATGTACCACAGTGGCACTCCTGAGCCACGTCCCTTCAATCTTCCTCCGCCCACAGAGAGAGCAAGGACAAGTACAAAGGGCCCTGGGAAAGGCTTCTGAGTCCACCAGGGTCTCTAGGGATGCATGACTTCTCCTCCAGCTACTGTCCATACACAGCAAGCTCTCTTTGCTATGCAAACCATTGTAAGTCTCCAGCTCCAACATTTATGCAAAAACTACTCAGGGAGAGAGCTTGTGCTATCCACAACCACAGACTGAGCTCTGGTCTCTTCCTAACTGCTGGTAGCACTGACCACAGCACTGGGGGAGGTGGGGGATGGCTGAAGCACTAAGGGAGCAGCCGTTGCCATCATAGTGAGCAGAAGACACAGTCTTCCCAAACCCATCCCACTCAGGCAGGCAGCATCACTCAAAGCAAGTGTCCTTGGAAGGTTTCTTTTATTTATCCATTCATCCATCCATACCTACATACATCCATCTCTCCATCCATCATCCATCTATCCATCCCTCCATCTATCCATTCTTCCTAGCACTGAACTGCTTGGGTGGGAAACTTGAAAACAAAACAGAGGGCTTCAATGAGCACATTATTACATGAAAATACATGTCACAAAGTATGAGATAAAAGCCCTTATTTTGCCAAGATACAACTTATGGACTGCAGTGAGGGGGGCACCTATGCCCCAAATGGGGTTGAGGATTCTCACAGGCAGAAGGAATGGTAGCTGAGGAGTCAATGGGAGTCAACACTGGCCAGCAGGTTTGCACCACATTGCAGACAGCTTGGGTTGCATTCTCTGAGCCAGAGGGGACCACTGAAGGAGTCAGAGGAAGGAGACAGCATAAGCTAAGCTTAGGAAGAAAGAGTTCAGCCACAGAAGGCTGGGGCAAGCTAGGAACAGGAAGCAAAGATGGGAATCGGCAGGATACAGAGGCATAATTGACTAGCATGAATCCAGGGAGGCTCTGGGCATCAAGCCAGTGGGACCATGAGGCAATGCTCTGGAATTGGGCCCTGGAAATACAGCAGAGGAGACACTCAGGTGCAATGTACCCAGGTTCCACACCTCTAGGAAAAGCCTTGGACTTAGGTCAGCAGCAGCAACTTCTGTCCTTGGAGCCAGCACAGGCTTTGGAGAGATGCACAGTTCTCTGTATTCACACACTCTGCCTCTGATAATTCAACCAACTCCGCATCCACTTTTCTCTTTAATGGCATCTTTCTGAACATATATGGGCTTGTATTGTCATTTGGCCCTGTGCTGGCTAGTTTCTGCTGTAAACTTGACAACCTAGAGTCACCTGGGAAGAAAGAACCTCAACTAGAGAATTGCCTCCATCAGATTGGCCTGTGGTCAGTGATTGATGTGAGAGCCCAGCCCACTGTGGGCAGCACCATCCCTAGGCAGGCAGGCCTGGGCCATGTAAGAAAGCTAGCTAAGAACAAGCCAGAGTGAACAGCAAGCAGCGCTCCTGTAAGGTTTCTGCTGTAGTCCCTGTCCTGACTTCTCTCAATGATGGACTGGGACCTGAAAGTGTAGGTTGACAAAAAACACTTCTCTCCACAAGCTGCTTTTCAGTCACGGCATTTATAAGAGCCACAGGAAAGCAAATTAGAACACACCCTGAAATAATACAGCATGGCAATAATTTCCCCCAACATTTACATTGCATTAGGTGTTACGAATAATCTAGAGGTTATTCAAAGTCTCCAGGAAGGTGTATGTAGAAGATATGTAAATACTATGCTAGTCTTACATAAGAGACTTTAGCACACTCAAATTTTGTTATCCTTATGGGGAGCCCTAGAATCAAATACCATTTTCCCAATGCAGAATTCCAGCCACCCCCATAACCCACCTCCAGCCACCACCATGACCGTGGGGCCAGTCTGGATGCCACCAGCAGGCTATGTCTGGTGCCGCTGCCCACCCATCCCTGGATGGAAAGGGCAAAGGGCATCTTCCACCCTACACAGGGTCCCATCACAAAGATCCCATTGTATAATGCTCAACAGCAGCTTGGTTTGATGATAATAACATGTTCTGCTGGCAATGTATGTGTCACCTTCTTTACACTGGAACATTCCACTACATTTTCTTCAGCAGGCAGAGCCTTACCAGGTAGAAACAGAGCCTCCAGGGCCAGGGAAACCACAGCCAACAAGGAAAGAGGTAAAGATTCACCCACCAGTGCAGGTGCCGGGGATTAGAAGCAGTAAGAAGGACAAGAAGGAGAAGGTGTGGGCAGTCTTTATACCACTTTACCCATCTGCTTGTTTCTACAAAAGCCAGAAGCCCTTCAAGTTTGCACTTGAAAACATCCAAAACCTTTCTTTCTGGCTTCAACATGTACTCAGGAAGCCATGGGCTCCCTTAAAGAAGCCAACACTGAGTTACATGGAGCTATGCCCCTGCCAAGCTTCAGCCACATACTTAAGCCAAGCAGAATATATGTGTACCCAGCAAGCAGAAGACCAAAAAAAAAAAAAAAAAAAAAAAAAAAAAAAAAAAAAATCCTGATTCCTCACCTGCATCACTAGAGCCCCTCCCAGGGGGAAAGTAGTGTGGCTGCTGGGAATCCTGCCTGCATCAGCAACTATGGTTTTTGCACGAGTCATTAGTATTTTTCAAAAACTACCAAAGCAACGTAAGTAGGGTGTGACTACCCTGCCCTGAGCAGGCACCTGTTTACCCACACCATTTACAATGCTGTGGTTCAAACTCAGGGTCTCCCATATGTGAGTTCTACTGCTGAGAGACAGGCTGGACCCTTCTGTTCTATGAGATCTGTTCATCAAGCCCCTTCCTATTGAGCCAAACTGACTGCATTTTGAACTGGCACTAACATCATCACATTCCATCCCAACAGACAGAGCCGGCCATCTTGCCCACTTCCCTTCCCTGGAAATCTCCCTGGGGCTCTCTAGTGACCATCTTAGGTCTCCTGGATCAGCACAAGACATACTGAGATGCCTCCACCTGGGAAAGGAAGGAAGCCCATAAGTGCTACTCAGAAAAAAAAAGAAGATCGGAAAGTATCCATTCAGCCAAGCAAGTCCCAAGCAGCCAACAGAGCAGCAAGCTAAGGTGGGGTTTGCATGAAGGGCTCTCCCAAGAATGGCACCCCCAAGCCTGGAGCAAAGCAGAGCAGCAAGTAACACTCCTGGAGGGTCTCTCACAGGTGTGACAGACAAGGGAACAGAGTGCTGTCCCCAATGCTTCAGACTGAAGACAAGGATGACAGGAACACCAGGGAGTCAGGTATGATTTAAAATGCAGGAGACAAATGGGACATGGCTCCTCTAGCTTCAGGAAGATAGATGGGAACCTTCTAGACAGACCCCAAAGCCACAGTCATCACCAAAAAACACCCAAGAAGATAGGCTTCAAGGGGCACAAACTGAGGCTCTTTCTGTGCTGATCCAAACCCTCTTCTCAACCCCACTGCTAACTCTTCCTTCATGACTTTTGCTCTTGGATAAAATCCCTTTTCTAACATAGGAACTCCGATAGGCCACTGAGCAGCTTCCCAACCTCCATGAACCCCCCCTGCTCAAAAGGAACCCCTGCTCAAAAGGCGTGCTGGAATCAAACCATTCACAAGCTGAACACAGCTGCCATGTCCAGTGAATACACTTTAGACTTGATTGAATGGAGGACATAAAACCCTGAGAGTTGTTTAACAAACAACTCGTATCAGTAGGTCTTGTTCCAAGCATAGTAGCCTAACTCACTGAGTGTCCAGCCAGGCTAGAAAATTGCTCCCTCAACTGAGCTTCATATCATTGAGATGAAGGTTTCAGGCTAACACTTCATTTGCATTTCAGTGTGGTGGCATATGCCCATCATCCAAGCATTTGGAAGGCAGGGATATGAAGGTCAGTAACTAACTTCAGCTACACAGAGAGATTGAGGCCAGCCTGGGCTACATAAGACCCTGTCTGAAAAAACGAACCAACAGAAAACACTTTGTTTATACTACCTTCATTCTGAGAAATATCCTTGGGATTTTTGTAATCTAGTATGTATGGCTTCAAATGCCGTATTTTCACAACCCTGCCACATTTGGAGGTCAAGGAGCACAAAAGTGCCAGATTGGACTGAGCAGCAAGCCCTGCTCTTAGCCCACGTAATTCCCACAGAAGCTCATCCTCAAGTTCAACTGGGGAAGCAAAGTTTAGCAGAAAATAAGGCTAAGGGGATAAGACGGTTTACTGTGGTCTCACTCAGAGCTCTGCTCAGTTCGCCAACGTTACAATCTAGCAACACCCACTCATGTTCACTGTCCTGGATCCATATTAAGGTGATGGTGCCCAAGCCTTACTGATCATGGTGGTTCCCCCAGCCAGGGCTGCCTTGGTTCCCTGGAAGAAGTCATCAGCTGACGTCATTCCCTGGTCAGGCATCTGGAAGCGAGTGTGCACGTCGATTCCTCCTGGGATCACCATTCTGGAATGGGCTTCAATGGTCTTCACTCCTCCTGGCACAATCAGGTTTTCTCCTATTTGCCTGAGAAAGCAAAGTTGGTGAGAGAGGGGCCGTTGAAAGGTGGAATCAAATCGGATCTGACATCTGCTTTCATTAGGCTATAAACAGACCTACACTACACGATGAGCACTTTTGAGGTTGTTGCGATAATCTTCATCCCAAAACATGAATAGATGTAGAATGAACTAGGAAACTAGACTTAGGGGCTCACATAATCCCAACAAAGGATTACCTCTAGTTCAAGTCCTGTAGCCTTGGCTACAGAGTGAGCTCCTGGCCCACCTAGAATGAAGAATGAGGCCTGTCTCAAAACAAGGCAGCAAATTCCTCATTCAATGATGAGTTTTCAGAAACCCCTATGCTTGAATAATAACAAGGCCCCAAAACACTCCCCTTTCTCCTGACACACGGTCCAGCTAGTTCTCCAGAACAGAGTTCACTCTAGCCTGGACTCTACTTCCCAACATCTGGTTTCACCATTTTCCTTTTCAGTGTAGGGGAAAGCGGTGGAAAAGTGGAGAGAGAGCAAAACAAGGGGAAAAAGAAAAGTAAAAAGTAAACACCACAATCCCAACAATTGTAGAACATGGAAGCAGGTGCTTGTGGATTCAGATAAAGGTAGAAAAACGAATATCCATGCTGTTGGGGACACGCATTACATCCATTGGAAGAGGGGCATTGTGACGGTTTTTGTTTTTGAGGTTCTGGGTTATTGTTTTTTTTTGTTTGTTTGTTTGTTTGTTTGTTTTCTGTTTTTTTTTATGTTTGTTTGGTTTTTGTTTGAGATAGTGTCTCTCTACAAGGCCCTAGCTGTCCTGTAACTCACTCTGCAGTCCAAGCTGGTCTCAAACTCACAGAGATCCACCTGCCTCTGCCTCCCCAGTGCTGATTAAAGGCCTGTGCCACCATACCCAGATGTAGGGTTTTATTTTAAAGACAGGATCTCATCATCCAATTATTATTTTTTTTTCAAATTTTACATCTTTCTACCAATATGTTTAAAAAGGAAAGTTTATCAAGGAGGAGTTAAATTATGACTAAAAATAGCATTGGGCTGCTCCATTCCAGGCCAGTGCCCTTCAGCCAGACCCATCATGCTCTCCCATGATTGAGGATGCTAAAGGAATAAGAAAGTCATAGCCTGTGATTGCCCAGAGCTGAGACTATTACAGACAAACACACATGGAGAAAGCATTAACTGTGGAAACATTAAGACTCATTCTGGCTTCATCAATCAGGGTGTGAGCTTCCAAGCAGTCAGTCAGTCCAGCTTGCCTCTCTCCAGACTCACTTGCTGCTAGAGCTTGATGAGCACTGCTTATTTAAAAGATATCATTCCCTAGGATGTTTGTCTTTCAACAGATGTGCTCTCTCTCCAGAGCCCATGAGCCATCCCCAGAGGAAAGGGATGAAAATATTGCTATACACTCTGCTCAGTTAACCCTCCAGAGTCCTAGAATACCCAAACCCAGAACCCAATACACAAGCAACATGGGGTGGCCTTATTATTCTAGGAGCCACTTCAAGAATGAAGCTGGAGAGATGGCTCAGGGTTTAAGAGCATGTGCTGCTCTTGCAGCCAAAGCTAGTTCAATTCCCAGCACCCATAGGGTGGCTCACAACCATCCATAATTTCAGCTTCAGAAAATCCAATGCTCTATTCTGACTTTCAAGGATGTGGTATACATACATACATACATGGAGGCAAAACAGTCACATACATAAAATAAATCTAAAAGAAAAAAATTTAAAAAGCAACAAAACCTAAAATCTCTCCAGCATTAGGCAGTCATTTACTGAGTTGCTGGTAATTAACTCAATGTCCCATGGCCTTTCCTGATTAAGCAAGCAGATATACATCTTAATAGGACAGGCTGCATCCCACATTTATGTCCTATGACTGGGTACTCCATCCCAAACAACTACAGTCTAGGAAAACTGAAGTGCATGCAGCCTACCACAAACCAAGTACATGTGCTGGCAGCAAGAGGATGCTGTGTCACCTCTGTTAAAAATAGTAAATTGCATAATACATGGGTGTTTGTGTGTGCTGTGTTTTCGAATTCCCTGAATCTGAATTCCCAAATTCATTAATTACCCCACTGATAAAAATGTGCTTAAACTATGTGAAATTGGTCACTTCTGGGATTTTTTTTTTTTTTTTTTTTTTTTTTTTTTGGCAGTAACCGCTAATGCCAGATGCACATAACTAACTATCAACGTTACAACATTCCAAGCCCAACTTAACAACTCTTAGAGTCATTAAAGCTTGAGATTATTTACATGAAAGAAGCTAAAGCTTAGGAACATGGTGTGTGTGTGTGTGTGTGTGTGTGTGTGTGTGTGTGTGCGCGCGCGTGTGTGTATACACCTCTACATAGCAATGAATCATGCTTACTTGATCAAGCCATCTTCCATGTATATGTCTGCATAAAAGGACTGGTCATCATTCACAATCTTGCCACCTTTGATCAGAAGGCGATCACTCTGTAACAAAGAGGGGAACAAGGTCACAACAAATAACTGACCTGGGAGAAACACCAATCCTGTGGGGAGGGGGTAAAGGGCGTGTTTTCACCATTCAAGAGTGATGCTCAAATCTGAGGGAATTTGGGGGAGGTACCTTAACCAAAGTGAACCTATGCTAGGCAGGTTGTTCATCACCTAATGAGTCAGAACACACTGGCAAAGCTCACCCTAGATAAACAAACCATCTTTTCATGAAGGCCTTAGACCTGAAAACAACAACAACAACAAAAAAGGTCATTGCAGAACATTCCAGCTAAAGACAATGCTTTTGAAATGATTTTTGGCTAAACCTCATCCCAAAAAAAAAAAAAAAAAAAAAAAAAAAAAAATTCCACCCACATGTAGGAAAGTCATGTCTTGGAAAAGTTTTTGTAGGAGGAAATTGACCAAAAGTCTGTTGTCATAGCATATACTACCCAAACACAGACTTCAGCCATAACAAGTTTTCAGCTTAGTGTGTCCCTTCTGTGTTCATTTCTCTTTGGGGAAATCATAGCAAGTGCAGGAGCAAGGGAGGAACTATAAAAATATACCCATTTGGCAGGTAAGAAGGAGAGCTTTGTGATAAAATTAGAGAAACATGGGGATTTTTTTTAAGTCTAATGCCACTACAGATGGTTGACCCACTTTTGTGCAAAAAAAAAAAAATCTAAAGGTTAATCCAACTGAGAGAGCCAAGAGCGTGTAAAAGAAATGCTAGGTTCTGACTCACAGCTATCTAAAATACAGTGGATGGGATGTATGTGATGTCATCATCCTGGGTTGGGTGGATGGATAGGTTTATTATTTCAGAATAGAGATAAGCCTTACAAGCAGAGCTATCTATCCCCTTGTATTATGCTACCCCTTTCAAAGAGCAGCATTCACCTTGAGAACAGTTAAACCAGAACTCTAGTACAAAGTAAAATCTCAACAAGTATTTGGGTTTTGCTACTACCAAGAAAAGGGAAATGTTTTCCTTAAAATACACACACATGATGCTACAGAACAAAGAAAACAAGATACAGTTGCACATTAATGTAAACACTATTGGGCTTAGGAAATATTTATTGTTTCTGCTACAGTGAAAAACAAGATCAGTTCAGCTTACACTGCAGGGGTCTTGTATCCAGATGCAGGCACTGGAAAAGCCCTTGAAAACAGTCAACATGGAGAGGGTAAACAACAAAATCTTTACCAGTCCTGCCCTACACATCACTCTTTGGGAGCCTTGGAATCTTTGTGAAGTGAATGAAGCAAGATTCTACTACCATGACACATGAGGGAACTGAGGCTTAGTGGGCTTAAGCCTGCAGGGATCCCTCCTTCTCTCTCCTGAGTAATGTCTATAGTCTGGGAGGCATTAAGTCCTGCTCTTCACTACCTTCCCCTCCTCAAGGAAGTACCTGTCCGAGCCTTCATCGACAATCCCCCAGGGGCAGGGAGGGAGGAAATGGGGAGGAAGGGGGAAATTATAGTCTGTTCAATCTAGAAGCTTCTAGAAGGCTTATTACATAAGAGGCAGGCCACAGTGACAGAGGGAGAGAGCCAATATGTCCCAGGGCATATGATTACATATTCTTAAAGGTTAGAGGGGGCGCTCTTTTAAAAAGTGGTCTTGTTGGTTGCCTATTCCCCCTCCCCATACTGTCAAAATGAAACTGTCTTATTCGCACAGGAAGACACAAATCACAAGAGGTTTGCAGGAACTCTCCCCACCCCTACTCCTTAGCTCCCCAGATGAGGTCCTTCAGAGCAGTGAACATTTTACATTGCATCCTGTGTGTCAGTCCTTTGGGATCTGGTACCGATGGTGGGGGTGGGGGAGCTTGAAAAAAAGCTAGTATCCACCCTAGCCTGAGAACTATCCAGACCAAGCTTGAAACCCCAGGCACACGCCCCCTCCCCTGGGCAACTGTTCTTACACCACTCCTGCAGATGGGTGTGTCCTTGTGGACTAAGGAAAGGAGGCTGGGGTCCTAGGGCCCCAAAGGCAAGCAGAGAAAAAGCTCACCCTCAAATCTGGCCTTAAAACCCATCTTCATTATTTAGAGGATACCTTCAAATATGCGTGTCCCTGGGTCCTAGCCGGCCACACGCTGGCCAGTGCAATCGCACAGCATTATATAACAATGAATTTCCTGCCCGGGATTTCTTTCGAGGATGTAGAAAACTAGACCGGTGAGATTTTTTTTTTTTTTTTCAGTAAAAGATGTAAAAGGAGGAGGAGGGCAGGGGCACCACCCGCTGCATCCCTGAAGCATCGCGAATTCCTCTCACAGATGCTTGGCAGGGATGGAGGCCTTGAACGAGGCCAGCACCTTCGCCGCGGTGATCATTGTCTAGGGCAGGCCGGGCCAACTGAGCGAGTCGCAGCCAGCGCCATTACCTCCGCGAGCTTGCTCGCTGCTGTCCCCAGCGCCCACCCGCCCAGCCCGCTTTGTATGCGCCACCACAACCGCCTCCCTGGTGGCGGAAGGGGCAGGAAAGACGGAGAAGGAGAGCCGGGAGCCCTGCCAAGACCCCAGCCCCAAACCAGAGGGCTCCCCAAATCCTCCGCGTCCACAAAAAGCTCCCGCCCTTCTCTGCTCATCATCAAGTGCCGATCCTCCCTTCCCTCCACATCATCCTGGTACACCCTGCCCTTTCCAGCATCCCTCCGCTGTCATGACGCCTCCGGGCTGGAACTCTCCTTCTCGCAGGAAGAAGGCACCAGAAAGCTCTTTCTGGAGGGGGCGGGAGACACGGGAGGATTTGTTTTCCAAGCTCCCCACCACCGAACTCCCGGTGCCCAGCCTTGCGGCACGCAGCCGGAGAACAATATCCGAGCGTCGACCATGCATATTCAATCTGGCATCCATTTGCTTGCACCCCGCGGGCAGCGCTGCAGCATCTCGTACTGACAATGAAGGATACAGCGGATCTGGCGCGCTACCTCCATGCACTCCCGCGCCTATTTCAATGCTTTGCAAATTGCGTGCCTTATAACTGTTATTACATCTCCCAACCCCCACCCCTACATTCACCACCGTAGCCTCCGTTGGCAACAAGAAGGAAAAGTTGATTCTCTTTCTCTCCTCCGCCTTTAAGATACATTCTTTAGCTAGTATATGTCACAAAAGGTTGTTCGCCTTTTCCGAGTACCAAACTTACCGTGATGCGTGGAATATTTTTCTTCCCCTGATAAGACATCTTTCCTGGGGGAGGCAGGGGGTAATTCTAGAGGACAGCTTTAAAGCAAAGATAGCCGGAAAAAAAAAAAAGATTTGGTTTAAAATATATGTATTTTTTGTAGGAAAAAGGTACAATCCCTTAGCTGCTCTTGCTGTTAGGAGATTTCAAACCTATAAGAGACAAATGCAATCCTCTGTCTCTTCTCTCCTCCAACACAGATCCAGCTAGGGCGGAAAAAAAGAAAGAGAGGGAGAGAGAACAGGAGGGAAGGGGGTGGAAATAAACTACAGCAATAAAAGCCTTGGTTCTAGTCGGCCACCACCGCGCATGCGCCTCCAGCCACTCCCTTTCCTCCCAGGCAAAAGCCATCCGCTTCGAGAGAGACGCTCATTGATTGGCCAGGATCGTGGTATATGCAAATTAGAAAGGCGGGGCAAGGCTCAGCGCCCGGGCTGCAACTGCTGCAGTGCGCGCAGGGCGCGGTGCGTGCGCCCGAGCGGGGAGCGCGCCTTTCGCGCCCTTTCTCTGTGCCTGGGCGGGTGAGTGGGGACTGCAGCTGGCAGCGGCCCCAGATGCTGCATCTGCAATGCAGGGTACAATGGAGGAGTGGTCGTCCCGGGAGGGTGAGCAGGGGGCTTTAGCCAGCGACGGAGGGGCTTCAGCACCGCCCGGGCGGCACGCACACGCCCGCCCGCGCGCCAATCCGCGGAGGCCGCCGCTGCAGCCCCGCGTGGGGTGACTGCGCAGAGCCAATGGCCTCGCTGGCGGCGAGCGCGCGACCGCACCGCGGCCTCCCCCGCCCCGCTCGCCAGGCGCGGCCTCCGCCCTGCAGCGGCTGCTACGACAGGGGACTGACGGCTGGAGGAACAAGAACAGCATCCGGGAAGGTCGTGGACTGCTGGGCACTGGACGCCCCACCCCAGGACGTTTTTTGTTTGTTTGTTTGTTTGTTTTGTTTTTTGGGGTTTTTTTGTGACTGCAGGATACCAAGAACAAGAGATGGAGGCCGGCGCCTATGGGCCAAAAGGGACCCACTCTTGCGCCTGATCGCCCTCTTAGCTGGCACGCTAAGACTGACTCCTTTTGTGTGGGTGTGGCGCCTGCAGATGAGGGAAGGAAAAGCTGCTGGGACGCTAGCTTTAGGGATTCCTAAAACCCCCACTGCCAGAAGCAACGTGTTGCGTTTTGAAGGAGCAAGAACAAGAGATTGCAGAGGATATAGCCCACAGAAAGGGGAAACTGAGTCAAGGAGTAACACAGCCTCTAGTCACTGAGGGCATTCCAGGCCTCCCTTAATGGCCCTATTAGTGCAACTGGCCTGCGAGCCTTTGTGAAGCCAGACTGTGATGTTCCAACAATACCAGGGGAAGGGAAGAGCTGGTGCAGTGGACGTGGGGAAGGTTCCCCGGGCAGATGACAGAACTGCTGAGGCATGGTTTTGACCTTCGCACATTGAGATCAAAGAATGCTCAGTCTGGGTCATGGGGCAGCCTTTCCGGGGAGGAGAGTATCTGTTTAATTGGCTCACACCTGCTCAGCACCATTAGCCAGATAAAGACAGAATTATCCTAGGGCTCTGTTCACCTATTTTGTTTTGTTTTATTTTGTTTTCTGCACTTGGCCACTGTAGGGGGTCTTCTGTTTTTCCAGTCTCTAAGTAGGTGTAAAAATCACCCTTTCAAATCTAATCTTAAAATCTACAGCTCCCAAGGGACTGTGAGGTTCCTGGCCAATTCATTCAAGTTCAGTTTAAGCTGTGCATCTTGAAAACAGAAGCCAGTCCCTGATTCCCCTTCCAATCAGGC